AAGTCGGGATGATTCGGAGGGAGAGCTATTTTACGGATTTCAAGTGATCGTTCATACGATGAAAGTGCTTTCGAGTACTCGCCCATGTTTTTATACACTATACCGATGTTGTTGTAGGAAGTAGCCAAGTCGGGATGATTCGGAGGAAGAGCTATTTTCTTGATTTCAAGTGATCGTTCGTGCGATGAAAGTGCTTTCGAGTACTCGCCCATGTTATCATACACCAACCCGATGTTGTTGTAGGAAGAAGCCAAGTCGGGATCATTTGGAGAGAGGATTTTCTCGTTGATATTCTGTGCCTTTTCGAAATATAAAAGTGCTTTCGAGTACTCTCCCATGTTATAATACACCCAGCCAAGTTGATTATTATATTCTGCTCGATCTTGATCAGAAGATGCCTTTGCAAGGAGGATCTGATAGAGTTGTTCAGCTTTTGCAGGCTCACCCACTTTAATAAGTATGTACCCAAGTCGAGACCATCCTCTGTCGTCCCCAAGGTCCTCACGTATATGTGCTGTAAGTGTGTTCAATTCGTGATTGTCATTACCGACAATAGTGAGATTAACTTCGTATAGCCGATCAGAGTGATTATCGTGAATTCGTTCAATGCGATCGATACGAAAAATCGCATGTGTTGTAAAAAGTATTTCTTCCTCCTTATCTTTGTAGTAGCCAACTTTGCTTACTTCAGCAAATGGTGTTGAGAATTTTGTGCAAATAGCCGTGTCAATGTTCATAATGAAGAGAATACCAACTGAATTTGTATTTAACGCTGCTGGTCGTGCAAAGTTTTTGAAAGATATCTCACGATTGCGACTTGTTGACAGAAAATTATTGAAGGACATAAGTCCTCCTTTGGTTTTTTTCATTTTTTCAAAATCTTCCATGGACAAACCTTGTCCACGGAAGACTTGAAAATTTGTTGGCATGTTTCCTTGTTGTTCAGAATGTAATTTTGTAATATGCTGATGTAGATGTCGGATGAAAAAGCCCATCTTCAGGATAATATCGACATCCATTTCTCGGAGCCCACGATTGAGCATTGAGTACATGAAATAAGGAGCCGTATACCACCAAATTGGTGTCTGGTTTCGGTATTCTCGCTGCACTTTTTTTATTTCATCTTCATCAATATCATCTTGCAGACGACAGTATTCGACGAGATCTTTAATCGATTTGACATCGTCATCTTCAATTTCCAAAAGCGCTTCTTTTAAAAGTTGTGTATACATAAATAATGCATCACGACCATTAAAGCTGATCGGGATCATAGCTTGATCACATCGTTGTCGATCCATTTCAAGTGCTTGACAAATTGGTTCTATTTTTGTGTATACACCCTTAACCTTGCTTATTTTTTTAGCCCATTGTTCATGAACCGATTGGTTGCCACAAAACACATAAATTGCTTCCAGTTGTGGCAATGCTTCGATTTCTGGTACTATTTGACGACCCAAAGAACCTGATACGATCATAAATACCTTTTCTTTTTTGATTTCACTTAGGAAATTAACGCATTGTTGGGCATCCGTAAACGTTGTGATAGATGCCACAATTTTTCGAAGATGATGCAACGAATTTTTAAAATCCTTATCTGACTCTTGCAAATTGGCATCGAGCCATACCAAAAGGAAATTTTGAAGAATCCGACGAACAGGTCGGGGCAGCACAGCACCACGATTGATGGTAGCAGTCATCGCTGCTGTTTCACTAGCAGCAGTTTTTGTCGGTTTTTGTTTGTCCATGATCAATGGATGAAGAAATGAATGCAATAAGTGAGACGTTGTCACCCTATATTTATAAAGCTTTTTATTCTTTTTGTCAACACTTTTTCAGTCTTGCTGCTATGGGCTTTAAAAGCTTCTTCTCTCGGTCGTTGGTTTTTTTTAGGAGTGTGTTGCGGACGAAAGAACGATGAAT